AAATAAAAAATTTTATCCAAAGCCCTGCACTCTTGAGCAGTTTTATTTAATTTGTATATGTGTGAGTGAAAGCATGTGTTTTTGGCTAAAACCATTTCATTTTCAAGCTTTTTCAAGGTACTATAAAGGTTTTTTAAGAGATTCCCTTCATCTGAACCCTTTTATGTTTAGGAAATCCTCATGACATTCTTCTGTTGTTGGGATGAAAAAAGAATGAAGATCTGTAACACTGCCAAGTTGACTATGGTGCTGATGACAAGCAGCAGCAGATTATATTACCCAGCTTTTCTGTCAAATTCATCAGTACTTCTCTTACTGACATCAGTGCTATCTGGAGAGCTGCATTTTTCTTCTGGCTCTGCAGCTTCACAGATGGGAAGCCATCACAGTAATACAGATGGGTTCAATAGTGCTGTTATAGCAGCACATTATTTAATACCCTTTTCTAATGTAGGCAAAGAAAATACACTCCTACAACTAAATACTCTTGATTGGAGGCTTTCCTAAATAATTGAAAAGCACTCTTCAGGGCAAATTGGGTGGCAACGTGCAGCCTGCTTGTGTGATTCATCTGCTTTGTCAGCACTTAGGAAGGGTATTTTGGGTTCTGCTTGGTTGATATGGCTGTGGAAGTGCCAGAAGTCTTCCTGCACTACACCTCCCAGTGCCGCTGCTGCATGTGCTCTCAGTGATGAGAAAGTGTTCTAAAGTGAGAGAACTGAGTTTAAAAAAAACAACCAAACCAAAACACAAAGCACTCAGCAACTGCTGTCAACTTCCATTCTTTCTCTTCCCAGTCCTCAGAGGCTGAAAGACCTTCACACAGCTCATCAAATGGCCTTCACAGATGCTTTGAAAAGCAGACCTTTGAGTTCCTTCATAAACACTCCTTCACCACCGCATGTTCAGGTTACTCCCTGGTTTCTGTGGTCTTAAAACATGTTTCCCCTTCTCTTCTGTGAGGCTGTGCAGATTATCAGCCTGCTCTGCTGATTATAGCTCCAGGAGGGTTAAGTGAATGCGCTAGATGTGCACATTCTCCTAGTCTCTGATCTTTGCTAGCTGGAGTCTAGGGTAAATCCTCAGACAGAAGATTCAACATCCCTCCAACAAGCTGAAGCTTTGCTTGAGCTATAGCTGAATGTTATCCCTTAGAAGAGTAAATTGAGAGTAGCCTCTCTGGTCATTCATCAACCCAGTGTAGTTTAATTTTCAGTTCATGGGCCAGGTTCACCTGGCTTCCCCTGCCTTTTCCCTAAGCAATTTATTAGCTGCTTGAGAGGCACATGCCTTAGGAGCAGCCAAAAGCTCTCCCTGTGCCTGCAAATGGCCCAGCAGCTGGAAATCAAGCCTCTGGTACAGCCATGGTGTGGGAGGCGGGCTGAAGTGTGGCTGGGAAACATCTATGATCTGGTTAGGAGAAAGCAATTAATTGTTCCAGCAGCAAATGATGAAATACATGGCTTTAAGTTTCCACTTTCGCTTAAACTCAGTCTGCTATATTTTTGTAATTATGCTCTTTCTTGTGGGCACCCTTTTGAAGGTGGAAGATTGGCTGTATCCCTAATAATAGGGCCTTATCCATACATGGTGAATCCATCATATCACTGGCATTAAGATGTGGTTGATGCTGTAAGTGATGAACTGCTGACCTACAAAGCTGTGTTTACTCACAAGCAGACAGCAGGATGCAGATGCAGAAGCTTTGCTTCACACTGCAACCGTGTGTAACACTGCCAGGGTTAAGTGGGGCAACCGCAGAGAGGAATTTGGCCTGCTGCTCCATAATTTTCCATAACTGACCATTGTAATTGTCTATAATTATCAAGGTTCCACCCAATCTGCAGATTGGTGGCACAGCTGACATATCTGCCCAAGCCAAGGAGCAGGTACATATGCTAACTGTCTGGCAGGAAATAATTTCTTTACTATGCTCACATTTTCTAACGGTAGCTGGCCGTTGTGAGGAGAGGGGGGTTTGAAGTCATGGGCTACAAAGATCAAATAGAGGAAACCTTGTCCTTCTTCTGTTATCGTACTGAATCAGACCCAGGGGTATTTTCAAGGCAAATTGAACTTTGCACTATGTGCCATCCCTGACATTCAGCCTCACAGATGTCCCCATCTGCAAAGGGAAGGTCCTCCTGTACTGAATGGACACGGTAATGCATTGGTCTCAGAAACAAACTCCCTGTGTCTTTTGGGGAAATGGCCACTGTAACATAAATTGACCCCTCTATCATACCATCAAGAGAATATCAGAAACTTGGCAAACTTTATTTTCTATCAAATTTTAATTTCTCTTTGCATGCACAATTTTCCTTTGGTTCTGTGTAGTGCACGTTACAGAGATGAGTGATAAATGGCTTTATTCAACTCATCTGTGTTCCTCCTGGAAATCTTTGCTGGCATCTCAAATTGCAAATCCAGTCAAAGAGTCAATGTGTAAAGAAATCACCACCACCAAAAAGGAACATCCTGCTTCCCTGAACAGGTATCGTTCAGGTCCTTAGGCTCATCCTATTCACCCTCATCCTATTCAGGGTAGAGCTGGGCTGAGGGCTGGAAGGGGGAGGCTGTTGGTGAGTACAGGACATTTCCCCTTTCCAGCGCTCACTGTTTGTTCATGTGAAAGCACTGAGATATCTGAAATTGCAAGTACCATTTTAGATCGCGTTATTTTTAGACATTTTCATAGCTCCTCAGCTGTGTGGAGGCTGCTATAAATGAACCACAGCTCTTTTCGTTTATCAGATTTTGATTCTCTAAATGAAGATGAGAATTTTTATTCAGTGTTTGAGATTCAGAAACCTGAGCACAGAGAAAGTTACCCAGAAGCACAGTCTTGTGCTTAGAGAAATTTTACATCATGCTGTCATATTTTAGCTGATTTTCTAACCTTTAGTTTAAAAGGTTTGGAACTGAGTTAAACTGACTCTTACTGGTAAAAGGTAATTCATATTGTTAACATCAACCAACTAGAACAAATAGTACAGAAGCTTGGAACGTTACATTAGGAATATCAAAGTGATGTTGATTAATTCAGTAAACAAGAGTAAAATTCAATAACCACAAAAATCATTGTGACACATTCTTATTACTTTCTTACCTCTTTTACAAGAAACCACTGACCCTCCAAATTAGATTGTTTTCTTCCAGCAGAATCCATCTTGGAGAAAAAGGCTGGTAAAATTTGTTAATGCTGACTTCAGGATATCTAGGATTTCACTGTGTGAGTCACCAAGAGGAAAGTTTCCCCCTGAGTAATTTATTTGAGGGATTTTTGCCCTCATTGATATGCTAATGCTTTGCTTTTACTTTAGTACATTCTTATCTCTTTTAAGGAAGCAAAAAGTCAATCCACGCTCTTAGCCTGCATATTTTTCACACCTTCTGCAACAGTTCTATGGATTTTTCTAAATTCTGTTGAAGGGATATGGTGTTACATATTGCAATATCTATGTAAAGATATTACCTGCTCTGTGATGTTGAAAATCTTTGCTTTTTTAATTTAAAAATGGTTGTTCAGTGTGGAAAATAACCGAGTTTGAGAAGCTATCTTTCTTCATTTTTTCTTTTTTAATTTTAGAATGCAGAGTAGCAAACGCATACAGTTACAGGAAAAAATATAGGAGTAACTTGTAACTGCCCTCATAGTTAAGTGCCTTGTGTTGGGGATGGAGGAGCTCCAACATGTCCTGCACTGCACTTTTTATTCCCCAGCAAAGAACCCAATGCACAAGGGACTTGCTTGATGTTTCTAGGACTTTGATTAACCTTTGTGGTGTTGGTCAAACCAGTTCATCTCACCGTGCCTCAGATTCCCAACCCCAACCATGACAATATTTTCATTATAAACTGATATGAACTCTGCCTGAGGAGGTAACATACGATCATCAGCTCAGGGTCTGTAGGTTTCCCTTCACACAACGGAGCAAATGCTGAAGCAGAACTGTACCTCATCCTTCAAAATATTTCCATCCTGGCAATAGTTCAGTGCGTGCAGAGAAGTAACGGTGACAGCATTAAACCAACATCTCCTAGCCAAGGACAGACTGAAGAACAGCACAAAAGGGACAGACTGTGGCATTACAAAAATCAGGAGAAAACAGCCTTAGTGCTCCATGGTTTTGACATCTTGTGAGTGTTGAACTTAGAAGCTGAAGGAGAATGCAGCCTTGTCTCTAATTTACCTCATCCTAGTTATGCTGCTGTCACCTTATTAAGATATGATTATTCAAAACCAATTTGTATTTGGTAACACATTGCTAGGCCCTCTCAAGACAGAAGTGCAAATCTCTTGTCTAGACATGGGTTTTGAAAGCCCTAACTAGTTTGGCTAACGAGGAACACTGTGATATCATACCTTCCCTACCTGCTGAGAGGAAGGAGTTAAGTATCATGCTAGTAAAGGAATCCCAATCATTCTTTTGCAGCTGCTTTGGACTTGCAGATCTGCTTCCTGCTCTTACTGTTGTGGGATTTTGGTCCTGCATGCCAAGGTCTTTTTGCTATTTGTTTGAGGAAAAGTTTTATCACCAGTACTCTCTGTCTCCAAGATTTTGCTCTGGCTGTCATGACTGTAAGATGAGCCTTTCAGTTTTTATATATTTAGCCTCACAAATCCTCTTTGAACTAGCAAAAAGGAGAGAATTAAGGATCAGTTAGAAGGATGTGTCTTGCCTGAGGTCATCTGAGCTGCTTGTGGCATAGAAGAACTGGAATCTTTCACAGAGGGTAGGACTAAAATCATTAACCTATTCTCTCCTTCCCCAAGTACAGGAAACAATGCAATCATTCTCAAAATACTCTTTTAATGTTTTTTTTCCTCTTTTTTTTTTTTTTGAAGGGAAGAGAAAGTAGAGAGGGTTTTTTATGCCCATTCAATAGTTTCACATCAGTCTATCCTGCTGTGGAAAGCTTCTTTGTGATGTTAAATGAGATTCACATTATTCTTCCCAGTATCTTTGTTGTCTGCAGGGTATAACAAGCAGTGAAGCTCAAGGGAATCGCATCAATTTTTATTCTGAGTCTGGCTGACAAAGATATGAACACTTAATTAAGATTTCTTTCATCTCATGAAAATAGCCCTGAAGATCTGAGCCTGACATGAGAGCTGCTAGTGATCCAAGCAAAGGCAAAGTGTCCAACTGCAAGATCTTAGCTGGAACACTTGCCCTCACAAACCATTTGGACTGAGAGTGGTATCTAGGTGTTTCCAAATTGATGTCCAAGCTCGGGAGAGCGGCTCTGGCTTTCACTTCTGACTCATTCTAGTATTGTGAATTCCTGTTTCACACAGGGACAGACCAACAGGAAGGAGAGTCTCTGAGCTCCACAGAACAATGTAATCAATTCAGGCATGCATACAGCAGGAACAGTTGGCTTAGGCTTCCCAATGTGCCATCTGTGAGAAAACCGATTTTTTAAATGACTGATTACAACAAAATGCACATTCTTTCTCTATTTATTTACATGGATGCATGTATATTGATTAAAATTAGTCCCTTTTTGCTACATTAAATCAGAGTGTTGATAATTAAGGCATCTGTGCACAGGGCTGAGAACATTAGGAGCACTAGAGAAACAAACAATAGTTTATAATAGGATCATTACAGCAGTCTTAGCAGCACTTACAACATGTTTATTCAAAAATGAAATATGCCCTAAGGAAGAAAAACACCAATTACGGAACACTGGGGATTAAAAATAAAAAGGTCAGTTTTAAAGTCTTTAAGTAAATAATTTCAAACAACTCAGCAACACCTCATGTTTAAAAATAGACTAAGCAGCTAAAACAATAAAATGTGTTAATTGTAGGAACTGGAATATATCAAAAGGACAAGCACAGTCACTATCATTACCTTCTCATTGTTCAGGGTGAAAAAGCTCAGTATTAATATTGCCATACATCTTGGTGTATATATGTACGGTAAATATTTACGGTTTTGTGAGTGTCTCAAATTGACTGTACATTGCCAAGAAGAACATACTTGCAGCTTCACATAAAAGAGTAAAATAAACAGTGTGTTTCTGTATCAACAGCTCAGGTCTGCAGAAACCCTTGGGTCAGGGGAAGTTTATAGGTCCTGTTCCATGTGGGAACAGGAGACTGCATGTCTAAGTAGTGGGGAAACCTCTTAGCACATACACATACAAAGGTAGCACTTGGATTTTATGCACATTATTCCTGATTAACATGTCCATTAACATGCACAGCAACTGCAGGTTTCAGTGGGACTAATGAAACATTCCCATTACCCACTCATCGAGAGGGCCCTGGACTCACCAACAAAGTAAAGCACCTTTGTGGACTGAATTTCACCTCTTCTGTTTTCCCTGTTATGACATATGCCCTTAGTATAATCTTAATATTATTATTTAATCCAAGGAATTAATGCAAAAGAATAGCAAAAGGGTTCATGTGAACCAAACCTTCTACAGCACTGGCTGAATTTCAGTGAAAGCTGGGGGATGTCAGTAGTACCTCAAAGCTTCAGGTTCTCCTCAGGTGTTGTGGTTTAGGAATGATACTCCTCAATTCAGTGCCCCCACCGAGGCTCTCCAAAAACTGCACTGTGTGCTCTTCCCCTTCCTGCTTCGGTGGGATGGAATTGAGAATTAGAGGTACAAAATGCAAAGATCACGGGTTGAGATAAGAACAATTTACTGGAAACAGTAACAAGATAAGAAAACTAACAGGAATAGCAACAATAGTAATGACAGAGGGTATAAGAAAAGAAACTATTCATAAGAAAAAAAAATCTCATTTCATGGAAGTGAGATTGCCTTTCCCTTGCAACGAGCCCATTTTCCTGAAAGGGACAGTCCCTTTTCCCTGCCCCCAGCAATGCCACGAGGTGGTACAGAATAACCTCCATGTCCCGACCATGCCGCCTCCAGGCTACTGCAAAAAATTAAGCCTGTCCTGGCCCAAACCAGGACCAGGAGACACTACTCCTGGTTTTTATTTTGGAATTAAAGGTTGCCCCATAATCACAGAATCAATTAGATAGGAAAAGACCTCTGAGATCATCGAGTCCAACCCATGACCAAAAAACACCATGTCAACTACACCACAGCACTAAGCACCAATTTTTCCTTTAACACCTCCAAGGGATGGTGACTCCACCACCTCCCTGGGCAGCCCATTCCAATATCTAATGACTCTTTCTGTGAGGAAGTTGCTCCTGATGTCCAATCTAAACCTCCCCTGGCACAGTCTGAGGCTGTGTCCTCTCATCCTATCTATCACTTGTTGCCTGGGAGAAGAGACCGACCTCCATCTGGCTACAACCTCCTTTCAGGTAGTTGTAGAGACCAATAAGGTCACCCCCGAGCTTCCTCTTCTCCAGACTAAACACGCCCAGCTCCCTCAGCCGCTCCTCATAGGACTTACTCTCCAGACCCTTCCCTAGCTTCACTGCCCTTCTCTGGACACTCTCCAGCACCTCAATGTCTTTCTTGTAGTGAAGGGCCCCAAAGTGGACACAGCACTCGAGGTGCCCCTCACCAGCGCCGACAACAGAGGGAAACCGCGCTGTCGCTGGACAACAGTTTCACTCCTATGGTTTCGCTGCCTGCACGGTGGCCAAGCCCCGGCTCCTCGGCCCGTCAGCCCACACCAGCGCAGCACGGGGGGAGTATGGCGAGCTGCTCCTCGTGCCCCGGGCGAGCAGGACAGACCGTGTTCCCGCCGGATCCGTCGCAGGGAGGGGCACCGCCCGAGGGGCTACGCGATGAGCGGGCGGAACCCAAAATGGCGAACACAGCCCCGCCCCCGCCCCAGGTGCGCCCCCGCCCCCGCAGGTGAGCGCGGGGCGGCACTCCGGAGGCTAGCGCGATTGGTCCCCGGTGCCGCCAGTCACCCGTTGCCGCGGCAACGCGGACCCGCCCCGCGACCCGCTCTCGGCTCCTGATTGGCTAGCGCG